ACAGATGAGCTGCCCGCTCACTGCGACACAACACTCACCGTGGCTTTTGGGCACTCAAAGAGACCGTCTCACGTACGACTTCGAGTCGTCGATAACCCTCCCGGTTATTAGTAGATCAAAATCCAAGTCTCGTTTGGATGGCTGCCCACAGCCTGTGCGGAAATACTTTCAATCTCAACCGAAGAGTGTAGGCAAAAAAAACCCCCCCAGAAAGTGTTTAGGAGCGATGAAAGGTTGCCTGCCTGTCTAACCATCGTTTGGGGGCATTGGGCATGTCTGCCTTTTTATAGGCCTCCCGTCCACTCACCCCGGTTCGACCAGTCTCGTTCTCACTCGCTCATTGGATCCCCAGATCCACAGTACTCAACCCCCATTTAGGTCTTATGCTGCTAACCTATACAGGTTAGTCTGTCGCGCTGCCAGTCCTCCCGTCCTTATCGCTCTTATCGATAAAAAGTGCACTACTTTGTCTTACAGATAAGCACTTCTGTGCTGGGCCATGGCCCCAAAAATTGCTCTTAACAACAATGGACCTAAAAACACGGCGTGTCTGTTACATGGGCTTATGGGCCACCGTCTATCAGCACAAATTATAAGATCGCCCAACAGCGGAATGATTGGCGACGGACAGCCTTTGGCGACGAGGAACATAGACCTGCAGGCAGTCTTGTAGTTTACCGTTCGTTGATAGACGATGGGATGGCCCAAAATGCGGGGTGAGCAAAATGGACCAGCAATTTTGGAGTAAAAGTGGGAACTATAGAGAAAGTGGGGAATTGTGTACGCAGTGTCCAGACAGAGTCACGCGGTGGTCGACCGAAGGACAGATTTGAAGAACTATAAGAAGGCGAGATGCCCCTCCAGGATATTAGGGATCAGTCCATCCCAGTGGAAAAAAGGGACCCTCGTTAGTGTCTCCCGACAGTGGCTGCTCCCATTCCCAAGAGCAGTCGCCGCTCTCGCTACCGCTGTTCCAGCAAAAAGGCTCAGCCTCATCGATTACATTATTGCCGTCCTCCACTGACGTAACAACTGGGTTGAACTCCAGGCTATCCCAAAACAGACTATGTAAGTCTACTATCGCGTCGTCTTCGCCATACTCCGTATTTGTGGTGCAACTTCCATCTGCCTGATGAGAGGTGGGCGGTTCGCTGGGGCCTAGTGTGCGAAGCAGGAACAACCCCGCCTGAAACAGAAACCCCATTTTTGTGTCGTCCCGAAGACGCTCTCATTCGCACGAGAAGATCGAACCAGCTCGAAGAAAAAGAAGAAGAAAACAACCTCTCCGGCAGACCATCTGCTTCCGCCCGGTCGCCCTTCGCCCTTGAATAGTTTCCACCTCACTCCTTGTGAGTTGAACAATGGTTTTGCGGGAGACGAACGGGCACTTCAACATTGAGTCCAACTCAGTCCCAAAGCCAACGGCGAATATGCCGTCGCTTCCGAAGTCTACTCGTCTCAGAACGTCATGTTTATCTGCAATCGCGAACCAAACATCTCCGGCGTCCCACAGCCGGTAAGAGAATTGGCATCGGAAATTGCATAACGTTTGGAAAGCGACGGAAGGGCCTCCGGTAAGCTCTTTAGCGACAAGCCGTACGCCCGGTTGGAAAATTAGAGGCACAAACAATTTCCGCCGTCTTTGGATGCGCTCGTAGTAACCCCTGGGATTAAAGACCTCCTGGCTATGATTGAGTTGGGCACAGAATGTCACCGTAGCATGCGCAACGGCTTGAAAAATGCCAAAACAGGGTCCGACCTGGACGCGTCAAGCAATCTCTGGACTACCTCGTCGGTGCAGTGCGAATTCTGTCGACCAATTCAATGAACAACAGATAGCAACCAGGACGGACGGTATGCTTCGGATGTGGACAGTTGACATAATCACTATTCTTTGATGACAAGTATCTTGATGAGTTGGATCGACTCATGTTCCTAAATGATGTTTGGATCTCTGGGCCGCGAAAAATTGAAAGGCGGGGGGAGCTGTCGGAGGACATCATCGGCTGGCTGTGGCCTCGACCAGTCAGTCCAGCCTTGTCGAATGGAGGCAATCTGAGCTGACCCTGGCGAGCTCCAACATGCAAGCAAAGATGAGCTTGGACCTTGTCCAATGTGGGCGGCTTCATCTCTCGTGGTCCGCTAGGGAGGACAAGATGTCTGCTAACATGGAGAAGTGAATTTGCTGTGCACGACCCACACGCACCCAGGCGTCGATTTGCACCCACGGTGCCAGCGCTACCACCAGACCAGGGCCTAGCTTAGTCCGAAATGAGTCTCTGGTCTGATACCTCGTGGGACTGACTGTCTTTTGAGAATAAGATTAGACCTCAGCTCCAGTGCGTTACTGCAACTGCAATTCTCTCCTCGCTCTCTTTCGATTCGCTCGTACCAATACCAGGCCTGAAGGTATTAGCGCTGGAAACATGAGAAGGAACGTCGTTGGTGCATTGCACAAGATGGCGATACGTACTCCAGGGCTTGGCCTTCGTCGGCCAGCGGCGGTCGCGTACGATTTCCTCTATTGAACTTTGAACGTTACTCAGGGAACAACGCGATATCATTGACCCCTCAGTCAAATAAGCCATCCTTGCGAATGGTAGCAAGCATGGCTAAGGGTGAGTAAGGGATCGTACTTCATCCCGTGTACAGTCTTGTCCTTCATAGGATCCAGTGGATCTATCCCCGAGATACTCCTTTGCTCTCATCCTCCATTTCTATTGGTGAGTAACTCGTCATCCATACGGCATGTGGTCGTTACCACTATTGGCTTCTGCCGTTAAGCATAGGTTGACTGTATGGGGGCGAACAAGTTATCGGGGAAGACATTTGGTACCTGATCAGAGTGGCACCAGACTACATAATCCTCTTTACAAAGTTTCTATTACTATTGTGAAATGAACCTCTGCTCGTGTTCGACTTTCGCTCGGCTCTGTCGCTCATGTGACTCCCCAATCGTTCTACTCGATCGCTAAGATGAGGCTGTTAGCTGACGTCGTCACGACGCGCCGTCCGTTCATGTGTCCCCACCTCTTCGTGACCGATTGATGATCATGGTGCCGAAGCCACATCGGTTGTCAACCCATCACAAGCGCAGCGGCCAGTCACCTCATAGAACACAGTTAGGACGTGGGCCATGAGGCAAGAGCTGCATCGATAGTGATGAGAGGCGGCGTCTCCAACGGGCATGTTGCGACAGCTCGGTGTAGAAACTCCAGACCTGGTTCTAGCGGATTTGGCGGGGTTAGCCATCCGGCTACCCTGCTTATGTTTGCTGGGCTGTGTAAGTACATATCGGCGAAAGAGAGCAATGCCCACACACAGCTCCTTGGAGGTGAGAAAACGAAGCTAGAACTGATTAGACCTAGATCACCTTGTTCTTTTATCAGCACTCTAGCACCATGCCCTAACACGACATGCCACGCACCTACGGTGTCTGCCTCCCGTATGCGCGTCAGGACTATTCAATAAATTCCCTGCCCGACGCGTATACAAAGTATTCATCCCTAGT